CGTGTCTATCTCTCCATTTTGTCCTTGTCCCTGTCTACCTCTCTCATTTTGTCTTTTGCCCTGTTTGTCTATCTCTCTCATTTTGTCTTTTTGCCCTGTTCGTGTCTACCTCTCTCATTTTTGTCTTGTTGCCTTGTCCGTGTCTATCTCTCTCATTTTGTCTTTTTGCCCTGTCCGTGTCTACCTCTCTCATTTTGTCTTGTTGCCTTGTCCCTGTCTACCTCTCTCATTTTGTCTTGTTGCCTTGTCCCTGTCTACCTCTCTCATTTTGTATTTTTTGCCCTGTTCGTGTCTATCTCTCATTTTGTCTTGTTGCCTTGTCCGTGTCTATCTCTCTCATTTTGTCTTTTCTTGTTGCTCTCATTTTGTCTTTTTGCCCTGTTCGTGTCTATCTCTCATTTTGTCTTGTGCCTTGTTTCTACCTCTCTCATTTTGTCTTTTTGCCCTGTTCTGTCTATCTCTCTCATTTTGTCTTGTTGCCTTGTCCCTGTCTACCTCTCTCATTTTGTCTTTTTGCCCTGTTCTTCTATCTCTCTCATTTTGTCTTGTTGCCTTGTTCGTGTCTATCTCTCTCATTTTGTCTTGTTGCCTTGTCCCTGTCTACCTCTCTCATTTTGTCTTTTTTGCCCTGTTCGTGTCTATCGATCTCATTTTGTCTTGTTGCCCTGTTCGTGTCTATCTCTCTCATTTTGTCTTGTTGCCTTGTCCCTGTCTACCTCTCTCATTTTGTCTTTTTGTTGTGTCTATCTCTCTCATTTTGTCTTGTTGCCTTGTCCGTGTCTATCTCTCTCATTTTGTCTTGTGGCCTTGTCCGTGTCTATCTCTCTCATTTTGTCTTGTTGCCTTGTCCCTGTCTACCTCTCTCATTTTGTCTTTTGCCCTGTTTGTGTCTATCTCTCATTTTGTCTTGCCTTGTTGTCTACCTCTCTCATTTTGTCTTTTTGCCCTGTTCGTGTCTATCTCTCTCATTTTGTCTTGTTGCCTTGTCCCTGTCTACCTCTCTCATTTTGTCTTTTTGCCCTGTTTGTGTCTATCTCTCTCATTTTGTCTTCTTGCCTTGTCCGTGTCTACCTCTCTCATTTTGTCTTTTGCCCTGTTCGTGTCTATCTCTCTCATTTTGTCTTGTTGCCTTGTCCCTGTCTGTCTCATTTTGTCTCTTTTTTGCCCTGTTCGTGTCTATCTCTCTCATTTTGTCTTGTTGCCTTGTCCCTGTCTACCTCTCTCATTTTGTCTTTTTGCCCTGTTCGTGTCTACCTCTCTCATTTTGTCTTGTTGCCTTGTCCCTGTCTACCTCTCTCATTTTGTCTTTTTGCCCTGTTCGTGTCTACCTCTCTCATTTTGTCTTGTTGCCTTGTCCGTGTCTATCTCTCTCATTTTGTCTTGTTCTTGTTGTCCTCTCTCTCATTTTTTCTTTTTGCCCTGTTCGTGTCTATCTCATTTTGTTTGTGCCCTGTTCGTGTCTATCTCTCTCATTTTGTCTTGTTGCCTTGTCCCTGTCTACCTCTCTCATTTTGTCTTTTTTTGTTTTGTCTATCTCTCTCATTTTGTCTTTTTTGTCCTCATTTTGTCTTGTTGCCTTGTCCGTGTCTATCTCTCTCATTTTGTCTTTTTGCCCTGTTTGTGTCCATCTCTCTCATTTTGTCTTGTTGCCTTGTCCCTGTCTACCTCTCTCATTTTGTCTTGTTACCCTTGTCCCTGTCTCTCTCTCTCTCATTTTGTCATTTTTTTTTGTGTCTATCTCTCTCATTTTGTCTTGTTGCCTTGTCCGTGTCTATCTCTCTCATTTTGTCTTGTTGCCTTGTCCCTGTCTACCTCTCTCATTTTGTCTTTTTGCCCTGTTCGTGTCTATCTCTCTCATTTTGTCTTGTTGCCTTGTCCCTTTTCTCTCATTTTGTCTTTTTGCCCTGTTCGTGTCTATCTCTCTCATTTTGTCTTGTTGCCTTGTCCCTGTCTACCTCTCTCATTTTGTCTTGTTTGTCTATCTCTCTCATTTTGTCTTGTTGCCCTGTTCGTGTCTATCTCTCTCATTTTGTCTTGTTGCCTTGTCCCTGTCTACCTCTCATTTTGTCTTTTTTGTTCGTGTCTATCTCTCTCATTTTGTCTTGTTGCCTTGTCCGTGTCTATCTCTCTCATTTTGTCTTGTTGCCTTGTCCGTGTCTATCTCTCTCATTTTGTCTTGTTGCCTTTCTACCCACTCATTTGTCTTTTTTGCCCTGTTCGTGTCTATCTCTCTCATTTTTGTCTTGTTGCCTTGTCCCTGTCTACCTCTCTCATTTTGTCTTGTTCTTGTTGCCTCTGTCATTTTGTCTTTTTGCCCTGTTCGTGTCTATCTCTCTCATTTTGTCTTGTTGCCTTGTCCGTGTCTATCTCTCTCATTTTGTCTTGTTGCCTTGTCCCTGTCTACCTCTCTCATTTTGTCTTTTTGCCCTGTTCGTGTCTATCTCTCTCATTTTGTCTTGTTGCCTTGTCCCTGTCTACCTCTCTCATTTTGTCTTTTTGCCCTGTTCGTGTCTATCTCTCTCATTTTGTCTTGTTGCCTTGTCCCTGTCTACCTCTCTCATTTTGTCTTTTTGCCCTGTTCGTGTCTATCTCTCTCATTTTGTCTTGTTGCCCTGTTCGTGTCTATCTCTCTCATTTTGTCTTGTTGCCTTGTCCCTGTCTACCTCTCTCATTTTGTCTTGTTGCCTTGTCCCTGTCTCCCTCTCTCATTTTGTCTTGTTGTCCTCTCCGTGTCTACCTCTCTCATTTCGTCTTGTTGCCTTGTTCGTGTCTACCTCTCTCATTTTGTCTTGTTGTCTTCTCCTTGTATATCTCTCTTCTATTGCCGTCTTTCCTTCTCCTTGTCTATCATTTTTATTGTTTCTGATATTCGTTTGCGTTCCTCTCTACTTTTCTTTTATTATCTTTATTTATATTTCTCGCTCTAACTCACTGAATTACTTACATTCGTATTCTCTTCTATGATTTCTTTTACTCTAAACGCTGCCAATTTTTAGAAGACTACTTCGCTTTTCCATCCATCTTTCTTTTTTATTTCCCCAGTAATTTGATACAACTCCGCCCCTTATTGCTTTGTCATATCTCTCCCCACTCTCTCCCTGATAGTTTGTTTGATTCTGTTCTCTTCTCTCTTATTTTTATTCTATTTTTTTTTTATCATTCTTGTATTTTCGATGTTGTCTTCTCTAATCATTTTTGTCTTTGTGTATTTGATTTCTTTTGTCCGCTCCTGCGTCACTTTCCCGCATTTTTTTTGTGTTTGTGGGTGTCTAGTTTCTTCAGCTCTTTTCCTTTTTTTTATTATTTCTTCTTAACTCGGTTTCATCCTATCCCCCCCCACTTCGTCTTTTCATTATTTTTTCATTTTTCTTTCTTCAATCTCCCTTTTTAGCGGTTCCCTCTATCCTCTCTAAGCCTGCTCTTTTACCTGTCTTCCGCTCTTTCTTTATTGTATTCTCTCTCTATATTCATCATTCTTCTCCCTCCGCCCTTTTTTTTATCTCTCATTGTTCCACTCTTCTCTCCCTCCCTCCTTCTTCCTGTTTTTACTTTTTCTATCTCTTTTTCTCTTGTCTTTTTTTCCTTCTCGCATTATCCTTCTCCTTTTTCATTCAAACCCATTCTTTCGTTCACTCTTTTTTTCTTTAGCTCATTTTCTTACTCTTCTTTCAAGTTATGCTCTCACGTTCATCCGCCCTCTTATATATCTGTTCTTTCTTTCTCTCTCTCTTTCTCTTTTTTTCTCTCTTCCTCTTTCAAGTTCTCCTTGTTCCTTTATCAAGAATGCAGATAAAACCTTTTGATGCCAGGAAAATATTGTCAGATACCATCGTCGAAAAGAAAGGTTTTTGAAGATTTTTTTCAAAGAGATTCCCGGTCTCATCTCGTCTCGTCGGCTTACTTCAGATGTAAAAACATTGACAGGACTTTTACGGTGTCCAAAGTTATTTGCAAAGAGATAACGTGACAAGTTTGGCGCGAAAAACAGAAAACAGAACTTACTCTTCCTGTCGCGGTGGGTTTGATTTCCTCGAGATAGTTTTCCTTTTCGAAAGGGTTTTAAAAACATCAAAAATGCCACACGCCATTCTTGTTTATAGCAGAGCGTTCAGATCAGAAAAACACAAATCAAAAGTGGGTGTTCGTTATGGTGCAACAAGCCCCGATGCTAAAATCTACCATGGTAACTGTGTTTTCAGTTTACTCAGCTGTGAACGGGGAGAAAAATATAAAGTGAAAAAAAAAAAAAGAAAGAAGAAAGAAAAGTCGATAAAGGAAATAAGCAAAAAATAAATAAATAAAACAAAGATAGAGAATTATCCTTTGCTTTCGGTATTTTTGTGATTCTGAATGCAAATAACAATTGCCTATCCCTAGAGAAACATGAGCGCCTCTCTTCTGCCGCCTAAGACATAAGTCATTTCATATTTTGACCGATAAAGTATTGTTTTGTCTTTTTGGCAATCTTATCAACAAGTCCCATGTTAATCTTGTTCACCGAAGAGATCTGTTCGGTTTATCTGGAAGTAGAGATGTTACACAGTCTATGGATTAATGGTAAGTAAGTTGAAATAAAAATTAAACTATAAAGTTCAATACTCGATATTAATCTATACAGGGTGTTTCCAAAAGTCGCATTTCCATTGATAAAGCTTATAAATTTTATATTTATTTACTAAATGGATTCTTGTTTCTGTATGTGACAATATATTATTAAGAAATTTTATTGGTTGAATTATAGAATATGATGTCATGGAAATTTTCCCTGGTTGGTATTTCACAAGTGTACGTTTTCTGTCAATTGTTGTGTAACTTTTGCACCCACCCAATATATATATATATATATATATATATATATATATATATATATATATATATATATATATATATTGGGTTGGTGCATGCATAATTATCAGGCATTTTTGTGGGCGAATTATTTGTTAATAAAATTGCTGCTTTGTTTACATTTTTTAATAAAAATATTATTTTTAGGTAAAAAA